TTATATTTATATTTATATTTATATTTATATTTATATTTATATTTATATTTATATTTATATTTATCGATGCACAAGAGCGCTGACTGTTGTTTTTTCCTGCGGTGTCTGCTCACCTAAATTATTATTTAAATAATAAAAATAAAAAACAGAAATTCAAAATTAATTATTTCTTTTAAAGTAATAACAGCAAATTAAATAAACATTCTTTCGCAACCGGGCGTCAAAGTACACACAAACATATTTATATAAATATATATATAAATATATAAATATATAAATATAAATATAAATATATATAATCGCTTCTATCTCTTATACAGATAAACAAGAACAAAGAAAGAAAAGAAAAAGAAAAGAAAAGAAGGCTTTGTATACTGAATTAACTCCTGTTGCTGCAGCAGCAGCAGCAGCAACAGCAGCAGCAGCAGAATGCGCGGGAGGATAATTGGTAGTATAAAGCATCAAATGTTTATTGCTGCATTATTTTAATGAGTTTTTTAAATATCTACCGACTCAACTTTAGGAAATATAAGAAGAAAGAAGGTTATTTGTGCTGCTGAAGCTGTTGCAGCTGCAGCTGCTGCAGCAGCAGCTGCTGCTGCTGCTGCTGCAGCTGCAGCAGCAGGAGGGCCCTTAAGGGTGTGTGTGCAGTATTTAGTGCCCGTTGAGGCAGAAGAATTTATATTTGCTTCCTTCTCATGTTTTCACCCCTTTTGATTTTTCTTTTGCTTCTTTATTACCTCCGTTTTATCATATACACCCGCTGCTGCAGCAGCAAGCCTGAGCCGACAGCAGCAGCAGCAGCAGCAGCAGCAGCAGAGGCCCCGCCGCAGCATCGACACTTCCATAGATTCCCCTGAGGTGTATATACACCTTAAATGCGTCAATCAGTGTATGTACAGCTCAAAATAACATCGGATGAACCGCATGCAGCTACGTTTGCTGCTGCAGCAAGCAGCAGCAAACGAAGCACCTGCAGACTATGGGGGCCCCCAGAGGCCTCCTGCAACGCCAGCTGCTGCTGCAGCCTGCTGCACTCAATATCACAACCGAGACCAGCAGCAAAAGCAGCAGCAACAGCAGCAGCAACAGCACCAACAGCTCAAGCAACACCAACACCACCAACACCAGCAACAGCAGCAAAAGCAGCAGCAGCAGCAGCAGCAGCAGCAGCAGCTTCAGCACCAACAACAACAGCAGCAGCAACAACAGCAGCAAACTCAGCAGCAGCAGCAACAGCAGCAGCAGCAGCAGCTGGGTTGTGCAGCAGGTGCTGCTGAGCCCGATGTTGAGGTCTGGAAGCCTCTCTTCTTTTCAAACCCCGAGGAATTCACAGCGAACGCCTTCTCCTCAGAGCATGTTGCAGATGCAGCAGCAGCAGCATCAGCTGCTGCTGGTGCTGCTGCTGCTGTTGATGCTGCAGCAACAGCAGTAGCTGCAACAGAAGCAGCTGTACCAGCAGCAGCAGCAACAGCTGCAGCGGCAGCAACATCAGACACCCATGCAGGAAACTTGAGCAGCAAAGACCTCGACTTGCTGCAGCCTGTCTCCGCCACTTTCTTCTTCAGCGCGGCCCCCCGTAGCAGCAGCAGCAGCAGCAGCAGCAGCAGCAGCAGCAGCAGGAAGGTGCGTGCTTGTTCAGGTATTAGAGGGTTGAAGCGCAGCTGTCCTTCTCCCTGTCTCGCTGCTTCGGTGCCTGAGGGGCCCCCGGGGGCCCCCCTCTCCCCTGTAGACAATTTGTCTTCTAATTTATTATTTTCTTCTTTCTTTAATGCAGCAGCAGACGGCAGATACAACGCAGCAGCAGCAGCAGCAGCAGCGCGCGCTGCTGCAGCGGGGGGCCCCTGGGGCCCCTCTGCAGCAACAGCAGCAAATGCGCAGCCACCACTGTCTTCTCGGGTTCGAGAGGAAAACACTCAACACAAATATTGCAGCAGCAGCAGCAGCAGCAGCAGCAGCAGCAACGTTTTATTGGGAACAGCAGCAGCTGAGGAGCTGTGGGGTGCAGCAACAGCGACAGCACCCAACCGCAGTCAGGCTCCAAGGCTGCTGCTGCCTTCACATGCGCAGCAGCAGCAGCAGCGGCAGCGTCAGCAGCAGCATGCGCAGCCACTGCAGCTGCAGCAACCACAGCGGCCGCTGCAGCGGCAGCCCTCGACGCTACACAGCGACGATGAAGAGGCAGCAGCAGAAGCATCAGAAGCAGCAGAAGCAGAAGCAGCAGCAGAAGCAGAAGCAGCAGAAATAGCAGAAGCAGCAGAAACAGCAGAAGACATTACAGCAGCAAAAGGAGGGCAGCGCACTCGGCTGACGTCCAGCGCTGCTGCTGCTGCTCCTCCGCCAGACTACCCACGTCGCTATCATCATCAATATCAGCAGCAGCAGCAGCAGCAGCAGCGGGGGCAGCGTGCACATCTGGCGTCAACAGCAGCAGCTCGCGAGGCCAGCCGCAGAGCTCTGATGAATAGCCTAAGATTTACCTCCCACCTCAGCAGCAGCAGCAACAGCAACAGCAACAGCAGCAGCAACAGCAGCAGCAGCAGCGCTTCACCAGCAGCAGCAGCAGCAGAAGCAGAAGGAGCAGCAGCAGAAGGTCCAATGCATTTCCATACAACAGATTCTTCAGACGATTCAAATCCAAGCAGTGCCCGCATTCGCATGCGAACAGCAGCAGCAGCAGCAGATGCAGCAGCAGCAGCGCCAGCAGCAGCAGCAGCATCTCCGCATTCCGCTTCTCGTTTGAGCGGCAGCAGCAGACGGCCTTTGACGGTCCGCCAGGTAATTGGTTTGGCTCTCCGCAGCCGCAACCGCAGCAGCAGCAGCAGCAGCAGCAGCAGCAGCAGCAGCAGCAGCAGCAGCAGTGTAAATCCTTCTTGGCAGAGCGCGTTGTGTTACAGTCGGCGTTCCTTCTCTTCTTTAGAGCGTGAAGCACTTCTCTTTTATTTGCAGCTCGTTGCTGCATTTGAAGCCAGCTGGGTTGCTGTTAGACCCATTCCCTCCAGCAGCAGCAGCAGCAGCAGCAGCAGCAGCAGCAGCAGCAGAAATGCTAACGTGAGGAACACACAGACGGCTTCACATACATTTGGTTTGCTGTTGCTGTTGCTTTTGTTGTTGCTGCTGCTGTTGCTGCTGCTGTTGCTGCTACTGTTGCTGTTGCAATTGCTGCTACTGTTGCTGCTATTGCTGCTGCAGTTGCTGCTGCTGCTGCTGCTGCTGCTGCACACGTGGATAAGTTGCCTGTTGTTTGCGGTGTATGTGCAGCGCGAGGAAGCAGCAGCAGCACCGAATGTAAATGTTTATTTGGTGCCGCCCTTCTTAGTGCGCGCGCTTAGAAAGGTGCCGCTGACTCCGGCGCAGCTGCAGAGGCTAGCAGCAGCAGAACTGGCCAAGTGCTGCAGCAGCAGCAGCAGCTGCAGCAGGCATGGAGTGCAGCAGCAGCAGCAGCAGCAGCAGCAACTAGGGCCTCAGGCGCTGCTCAAGGCTGCAAAGCAGCGCGTTAAGTTGCCAAATCCACTGACCCTCCGCATGAGGGGAACACGCTCAGCAGCAGAAGCAGCAGCAGCAGCAGCAGCACCAAGTACAGCAGCAGCAGCAGCAGCAGGTGCAGCACCGACGGCACCGGCAGGACGGCGAGCATCAGCTGCAGAAGGTCCCGCAGCAGCAGCGCCCGCTGCAGCAACAGGCGCAGCAGAAGGCGCATCAGGAGCTGCAGCAGCACCAGCAGCAGCAGCAGCAGCAGCAGCAGCAGGAGAGTGTTGCAGTGAAGGTCTTCGTGGTGAGGAGCGGTGGATAGATGTATTTCTTTGCTGCGGAGGTAAAGATATGCTGGCTTTAGATTGGCTTCCCTTCATATCTAGATATCTCTACTTCTGTCTTGCTGCTGCTGTCAGGCAGCAGCAGCAAGCTGCTGCGAGAGAAGGCAGAATCACCTTCAATGAGGGCGCCGTATTCACAGCTGCAGCAGCAGCAGCAGCAGCAGCAGCAGCAACCCCAGCAGCAGCAGCAGCAACCCCAGAAGCAGCAGCACAAAGTCGCTCCACAAGCCCAGCGAATGATCGAGGGAAAACCATCGCCAGGGTCCTTGCACAGGCAGCGCAGCAGCACCAGCAGCAGCAGCAGCAGCAGCAGCAGCAGCAGCAGCAACACCAGCAGCAGGAGCAGCAGCAGTCGGAGCAGCAGCAGCAGCAGGAGCACCAGCAGCAGGAGCACCAGCAGGATTTTGAAGGGGCCTCAGATCGCACTAGCGAGCCAGAGGTAAGGTCTCAACCACTCCCCAAGCGTCATCGTTGCTGCTGTTGCTCCAATTGCTGCTGCTGCTGCTGCTGCTGCTGTTGGGTGTAGGATTGTGGAGGGTGTGATGTTTTTTTCTCGTTTGTTGTTGCTGCTGTCTTCAGGTTGCTGTTGAGGCTTCTCCCCGTAGTGCCGCTGCTTCCAAACCCCTCTCAGGCGGTGCAGCAGGAGCAGCAGCAAGTGCAGCAGCAGCAGCAGCAGGCGAAGAAGCCTCGCTGCTGGAGGTGGAGGTGCCTGTGTTGCTGCAGATGGATTTAGCGTTTGTGCTGCTCGACTATCCCGGCTACGGATACAGCAAAGCAGATCTACCTACTCCCCAAGGTAATCGAACACCCTCACTCTGCTGCTGCTGCTCCTGCTGCTGCTGCTGCTGCTGCTCTTGCTCCTTCTGCTCCTCCTCCTCCTCCTCTTTCTGCTGCTGCTGCTGCTTCTCTTGCTCCTTCTGCTTCTCCTGCTGCTTCTCTTTCTGCTGCTGCTGCTGCTGCTTCTCTTGCTCCTTCCGCTGCTGCTGCTGCTGCTTCTCTTGTTGTTGCTGTTGCTGCTTCTCTTGGTCTTGCTGGTGTTTCTCTTGCTGCTTCTGTTGCTGCTGCTGCTGCTTGTCTTGCTCCTGGTGCTGTTGCTGCTGGTGTTGCTTCTCCTGCTGCTGCTCTTGCAGCATCAGCTTGAATAAACATTGCTTATTTGTTGTTGTTGCTGCTGCTGCTGCTGTTTAGGGTGTCTGGAGAGTGCAGTGGATGGGCTGACGGCGGCGTTGAGAAAACTTACCGCAGTCATCGGCACAAACTGCAAACTCAGAGTAATCCAACCAACGACAACCCCTGCTGCTGCTGCTGCTGCTGCTGCTGTTCCTGCTGCTGCTGTTGTTGCTGCTGTTGTTGCTGCTGGTGTTGCTGCTGTTCCTGCTGCTGCTGCTGCTGCTGCTGTTGCTGCTGGTGTTGCTGCTCCTGCTGTTGCTGCTCTTGCTGCTGCTGCTGCTGTTGCTGCCGCCGGTGTTGCTGCTGCCGCTGGTGCTGCTGCTGTTGCTGTTGCTGTTGCTGCTCTTGCTGTTGCTGCTGTTGTAGAGAGAGAATAAAGAGATACTGCGAGGGACAGAGAAGACGAGAGACGAAAAATAAAATAAAAACAAACAAAGACATAAAAAAGAAGAGAGACAAAGAGACAGACTCGCCTTCTCTTTTTATTATTTTATTTTAGTTTAATCCCTGCTTATTTATGTTTAGTTTTTTATTTCTTCGGTTTGTTCATAATAATTTATTTTCTGTTGTCTGTTGATATTTTTTATTTTATTTTTTTATAATTGTTTATTTTATTTTGTTGTTTTGCTTGCAGCTGCATGTGCTGGGCTATTCGCTGGGAGCAGCAGTTGCGCTGGAGACGGCAAATATAATATGCAAAGAGCTGCTCTCAGTTAGAAAGCAGCGCCACAGCAGCAGCAGCAGCAGCAACAGCAGCAGCAACAGCAGCAGCAGCAACAGCAGCAGCAGCAGCAGCAGCGGCAACAGCAGCGACAGCGAAGGCGCAGCAGCACCTGCTGTTGCTGATTCTTCTTTGTTCATGAAGACCCCTACGTTCGCTGTCTCTACTCCTGTTGCTGCAGCAGCAACAGCAGCAAATCTACTATCTCCTGTAGATGCATTCAAATCATGGGTGCCACAAGCTAGTAGGGAATGCAGCAGCAGCAGCAGCAGCAGCAGCAGGGGCAGCAGCAGGGGCAGAAGCAGAAGTGACAGCGGCAGTAGAAGCAGCAACAGTATAGACGGTAGGACAAAGAAGAACAGGGGCTCTCGCCTAGCTCGCAGCAACAGCAGCAGCAACCTGAGAAGCAGCAGCAGATACAGCAACAGTAGCAGCAACAGAAGCAGCAACAGCAGCAGGAAGAACAGCGAAAGTGCAGCAGAAGAGCTCCATGTATTCGCCTCTCCCCTGCGGCCTCAGCCTGCAGCAGCATATGCATCCCCTGCCTCTGGAAGCAGCAGCAGCAGCAACAGCAGCACCAGCAACCGCAGCAGCAGCAACAGCAGCAGCAGCAGCAGCAGCAGCGAAGATGGTTTTGAGGGGAGAAGTGGCTTAGGGGTGCCTAATGCCTCTGCTGATTTAATAGCTGCTGCAGCAGCAACAAAAGATCTGGGCATGCCGTTCCGCATGTTCTTACAAGAGACAATGCCATACCAGAGAGGCAGCAAGCGCAACCGACAGCAGCAGCAGCAACAGCAGCAGCAGCAGCAGCAGCAGGAGGGGGAGTGGGGTGTTGAAGGTGAAACAGAAGAAGCTGCGGTGTCTTTTCGCGGCTTGCTGCTGCTCGCTGCCTTCACCTCGACAGCAGATTGTGCTGCTGCTTTTTTGCCGCTGCCTCAGCCGCTAACTTCAGTCTTCAAATCTCTTATTGAATTCATTCAAGATACAAATACAGTGTATATACTGCTGCTCCCCCTGCTGCGGCCCCTGCTGCTGCTCCTGCTGCTGCTGCTGTTCCCGCTACCTGCTGCTGCTGCTCCTGCTGCTGCTGCTCTTGTTGCTGGTGCTGCTCCAGTTCCCGATGCCTGCTGCTGCTGATGCTGAGAATGTCCTGCTAGCTGCTGCTGCAGTTGCTGCTGCTGATGCTTCTGCTGTTCCCGCTACCTGCTGCTGCTGCTGCTGCTGTTGCGCCGTCTCTCTAGCATATCTACTGTCTTGCGTTGCTGCTACTTGTCGTCTTTGCCCTCACAGCAGCAACAGCGTCAGCATCAACAGCAACACCTGCAGCAGCAACAGCAGCAGCAGCAACAGCAGCAACAGCAGCAACAGCAGCAGCAGCAGCAGTTTGTGAGGGTGTTGTATATTTTTGTGCTTTAGGTGGAATAACGAAATCGCCATGCGCACATTCTGCCGAACTCTTCTTCAAGGTAAATAAATAAATAAATAAATAAATAAATAATAAATTAGTTAATTAATTAATTAATTAGTTAATTTGTATGTAATGAAGACAATAAATATATTTTATCAGATATATTTTTTAAAGAGTTTGAATCCATTAAGCAATAAACACAATAAATATTTACGTCGAGAGTATAATGTACATTGTATATATCTAGTATATACTGTATATAATAATATATATAATATATATAATATATATTATATATTATATATATATATTATCTATTATATATTATATATTATATATATTATATGCATGCGGCGTCAAGCAGCCGACAAAACGAAGGGAGTTTGGAGTTGTTAATAATAAAAACACTTGCGTATTAAATAATTATGATTAAAAAGAAAACAGCAAATGATCTGCTTGACACAGCACTAAGCACATCCTCTTCTTTTGTCCACAAGCATTCCAGACACGCCAGCAGCAGCAGCAGCAGCAGCAGCAGCAACAGGATATATGGCAACAGGATATATATCACTAGTGCGTTGTTTCGTTGGGTGTACGTTGCATGATGTAGTTGGTGTGCCTCTCAAGTCTCGTCCGTTTGCTGTGTTTCTGCTGTTGCTGCTGCTGTTGCTGCTGCTGCTGCTGCTGCTGCTGCTGCAGGAGGTTCGTTGTTTCGGGGGAGTCACTTGGTTATAGTGCACGGCACTGAAGACAACATGGTGCCGTCCTGGATGGGGAGACGCCTCTTTACACTCGCAGGTCAAAGCGGGGCCCTTCATCAATCACACCAGCAGCAGCAGCAGCAGCAGCAAAGGCGGCAGCAGCAGCAGCAGCACCAAAGGCGGCAGCAAAAGCAACGCCTTTCTCCCTTACACCCCAAAGAACGCTTTCCTGCAGCCTCCTCTACCCCTAAAAATGAATCTCACCTAGCAGCAGCACCAGCATCAGCAATAGGATCGCCAGCAGCTGCTGCTGCTGCTGCTGCTGCTGCTCCGTTGGAGGCTGAGGTGTCTGTACACCGGGGGTTGTTGTGGGGTTCAACTTCACCGCTCTTCGATGGATTAAATGAAGGCGCTGAGGATTCAGAAAGAAATATTTTGCCGGTGGCGTTTCACGCAGTCGCAGCCGAACCAATGCAGCAGCAGCAGCAGCAGCAGCAAGCAGCAGCAACAGCAGCAGGTGAAGCGTTTACTATACCGCTTGAGTTAGATCCTTTTGCAGAAGAATTTGCTAGCGGGGTTCCGATTCATCGATTGCCTCTGTTGCATGCAGTGAGAGATAAACAGCAGCAAACAGCAGAGCAGCACTCCCCAGCCTACAGCGACTCAGATGCCAGCAGCAGCAGCAGCAAGAGAAGCAGCAGAAGCAACAGCAGCCGCAACAGCAGCAGCAGCAGCAGCAGAAGTATCTCCGATGCACAAGAGTCTACAGGCAGCAGACCGGGTACTGCAGCGCTGAGCCCTCGGGGGTTTTTTCCAATTTCAGCGAGGTGTAGAGACACCCCAGAGCCAGCGGATACTAAGGGAGAGACAGCAGCAGCAACAGCAGCAGCAGCAGCAACAGCAGCAGCAGCAGCAGCTTCACATCATTCCGATGAGTTCGATCCCACAGCCACTCCTTCACCTGCAGACTCCGCTGAAGACACCCCGGGCCCTGCCTCGTGCCCGGGGTGTATGCACACTCCGCACTTGGAGGTAGGTCTTTCTGCTGCTCCTGCTCCTGCTGCGGAGAGCAGCAGCAGCAACAGCAACAGCAGCAGCAGCAGACGGTATATATATAATATATATATATATATATATATATATATATATACGCTGAGGGTGACGATGGCATTCACTAATAATAATTATTGTGTTGTTTTGCATGCAGTTTGTTATGCATATTACACACATATATATAAATATAAGTAAATAAATCTATAAATATGTATATATAATAAATATAATTGCGTTGTTTTGCATGCAGTTTGTTGAGTTGGAAGGTGCCGATCACCGCAGCGTTTGTTCGTCTCCAAAATTTCAAGGGCAAATTTTTCAGTGGATGTACAGCCCAGGGTTTGTACGGGTCTTGAGATAAATGCTTTTTAAATATATATATATATATATATTTAGATGTATTTATGTGCGTGTATAGGTATGTGCCCACCCTAAATAGCAGATGAAAAAGATGCAGAGACACTCGATATGCAGGAAAGCATATAGCTATATATATGTATATATATATATATATATATATCTTTGTGTATAGCTAAATGTGTACCTTGAATAGCAGATGAAGAAGATGCAGAGACACTTGAGATGCAAGAAAAACAGCAAAAGGAGAAGGCTCAAGACAACAGGCAATAAGTGCGTCTATTGCCGAGGAGACAGACAGAAAAATACAAAGTAAAGCCAAGAAGAAAATAAATAAAAGAAATAAAAGAAGTAAAAGGAATATAAACTAAAGCATTCGCACGCCGCGCTTCGTTTGCTGTCAGACGGGCAGCCACGCTGTCTCTACAACTTCGTCTTCGTCTCTGGAGTGCATGCATGTTTCTTTTATAGGTGCATGCATGCGAGGAAGATATATGATATGCATGCAAGCGAGAAAGATATATGATATGCATGCATGCAAGGAAGATATATGATAAGCTTGCATGCAAGACATGCAGTTGTAGATGCATGCATGCGAGGAAGATATATGCACGTTTCCCTTTATAGGTGCATGCATGCAATAAAGATATATGCGTGCATGCAGTTGTAGGTGCATGCATGCATTTGTAGATGCATGCATGGAAAAAAGATATGTGCATGCATGCAGTTGTATTAGCATTCATGCAGTTGTAGTAGCATGCATGCAGTTGTAGTAGCATGCATGCAATAAAGATCTATGCATGCATGCAATAAAGATCTGTGCATGCATGCATAGTTGTAGGTGCATGCATGGAAGAAAGTATTCTTCTTCTTGTTCTTCTTCTTGGGCAAACGACAGCTGTCTATACACCGCAGCGCCAGCACTTGGTTTCTGTTTGCAGTGCGTCGTTGCGCAGCGGCATTTTATTTCGATGAATACACCGAAGAGTTCTCCTTTTTGAATTACTCTCTCTGGGCCCAGTCAATTCATACTCCGCTGATTCATACAGCGAAATGTATATATATATATATACACTTAGCTGTATGAAGCAGTAGCTCAAGCAGCAGTTGTTAATGCT